CCCCCCCCCCCCCTCCCCTCCAAAACCTTAAACCCTAACAGAAAGTCTCGGCGCGGACACGCTCCACCAAGTCATCCGATAGACCTGCCGCTTACACCCCCAAAAAAGGCAGCCTTAGATTGTCAAAGCCCTTGTGCCCATGGGCACTTAGGACTTAGGACTTTTGGGAAGGAATGTGGCCGCATCGTAGCTCCTAAATGACCGGCGGTCGGCTTCCTGAAGGGTAGGTTTGGGGGTTAAGGCTGTGAGGTTTCAGGGTTTAAGGTGTTGCGCCTAGGTAGGAGCGCTGATGTTTTTTTGTTGTTCTCGCCTTATTTGGGCTTGAAGAGGATCATTGTGGGTGGCAGAAAAGTCCGAATTCAACCAAGCAACCCCTAAAGCCTAAACCTTAAATTCGCCCCCTTAAGTGCTTGGCAGGTTAAACACCCGCAGCTGCTCTACGAGGCAAAGCTCCTTGAGCAAGCTGCCGGCCAAGGCTTCCCAAAGGTCTACTGGCTCCCTGGCTGACATAGGGTTTAGGGTTTAGGGTTTAGGGCTTAGGGCTTAGGGCTTAGGGCTTCGGGCTTAGGGTTTAGGGTTTAGGGATCGGTCTTCCGCCCAAACCCCTGGGAGGATCCAAAAAGTAGATCCCCTGAAGGGTTCCTAAAAACGACCCAATAGTAGTTCTTGGTACTACTTTGGGCGTTCTACTTTTTGGATCGTTTAGGGTTTAGGGTTTAGGGAGCTATGTTCAAGGTTTACCAACAAAGGAACTTGAGCCGGGTGATTTCTGTTTCCGCCATGTGGCTCGTAAGCGCAGATTCAACAAGGATGGGGGTTGAAGACATAACTTTCGCTCATTTGCCTGAGGCTTAGTGCTTGGCGCTTGTCACCTGTTACCATCATCCTATGAAGCTGTATGGGGGGGGGGGGGGGGCCGGGCCTGTGGGATTCCCTTGTCAAGACCAGTCCCTCTAAACTTCTACACGGTGGTCCCGAATTTTTTGGGGTAACCCTAAACCCTAAGCCCTAAACCCAGGGTTCCTCATTGGAACAGAATCCTTGCAAGGGACAGGGATGTAGAGAACCTCTTGCATCTAGCATTTGGGGCCACAAGTGCCAATCTGCGTGAGTGAACGCCAGAAGCACCAGAAACTACAGCACTTTGGGGTGCTGAAGCCCTATGAGGTTTGAGCGAAGCTTTGTGGTTTAGGGTTTAGGGTTTGAGGTTTAGGGAAAACAAAAGGGTCTAGGGTTTGTAGGGTTTGTAGGGTTTACGGGGCACTGAGCAGTCAGGCAAAAGACCCTACGCCTGCAGCCCCTCTAAAGCTACAGCAACCTACATTCCCCCCCCCCCCCCCCCCCCCCCCCCCCCCGCCGGAAAAGCCAGAGACCCATGGACCCATGGAGCCGAAGCCCTGCACATGAAAGGCAACTTTATAACCCCGTTAAAACAGAACAAAAAAAGGTAGTTCGCCAAATTAGGGTCCTTGTTTGGGTGTCTACATAGTACGGCACCTTGTAAGAGGGACCTCCCCCTCACCCCCTCCCCCCCCCAAAAGAAAAAAAAAGAGCGAGACCTACTACTTGCTTAAGAACCCCCCCACAGACACAAAACAGATTCCTCCTTGAAAGGCTAAAAAAAGGTGGCTTACGAAAATAGGGGACCCCCCAAAAAGACCCCCAAATAGTAAAATTTGCTTATAATACGGACCCCAATAAGGCACCCCCGAAGATCGTAAAACCCCCCAAATAAGCCATGAACCCTGAACCCTAAACCTATCTCTCATGTCTTCTGGGGTTCTTAAGCAAATCGTAGACCAGACCGGAGGCATGGAAGAGAAGGCGACTTCAACATTCTGGTCATGGAGCGCTTGGGCGCCTCACTTGAGGAGAGCACCCAAACCCTAAACCTTAAACCCCAAACCCCAAACCCTAAACCTAAACCCTAAACCTTGGCTGGCGACTTTTTGTGCACAGCTTTTGTGTCAGAGCTCACCCTAAGGGCTTCAAGAGTTTAGGGGCTGTAGGGTTTAGGGTTGGGATGTTCCCCCTTATACTAACAGTCCTCAATAGGGATTATAGACGGGGTACTACAATCCCAATTAAGGACTGTTAGTGTAAGGGGCATGGTTTAGGGTTTAAGGTTTAGGGTTTAGGGTTTAGGGTTTAGGGTTTAGGGTTTAGGGTTTAGGGTTTTCATAGGGGCCTCTCAGGGTTTTTACAGGGGCCGGAGGGTCCAGAGGGTTCGTCAGGCCTTCAGGGTTTCTGTGGGGTTTAGGGTTTAGGGATAGGGTTTGAGGGTAAACCCTCTACAAGAAATCCTGAAGCCCAACCCCAAACCCTGAAGCAAACCGACTGGAAGGAGTTGCTGGCGCTTTGCGGTGGGCGACTGTCCCTCAGGACCAGGTTGCAAGGGCTAAGTTTTAGGCTTGAGGTTTTGGGGTTTGGGTTATTTCGGGTTTTAGGATGTAGGGCTTGCGGTGAAACATGTTGGTTTATTACTTAGGACTTGTGATCGTTAAGCACAACCCGTGGCCCATGATGTGATCAACCCCCCCCCCCCCCCCACCCCGCCCCCACATGCGCGGTTCTCTAAGCTAAGCTTCTTTGTCGGCCAACCTCATAGTTCCATGCGGTGAGACCTAAACCGGAAACCCTAAACCCTAAACCCTAAACCCTAAACCCTAAGCCCTAAACCCTAAACCCTAAACCCATTACCTCATGAACCGAAATTTCACATTGCGGCCAAGGATGTCTAGGGATCCCATGCAGCTCTGCTGCAGGGATGCTGAAACCGTGTCACGAACAAGACTGTCTCTGACCTAACGGCCCTGGTCTGCAAGCTCACGCCGCCAGTGCCGAAACCTACACCAGAACCTACCTTTACGAACTGGGTGATCTTCACCCAACGGTTCTGGAGCCTCTTGCAATTTTGATACCTGAATCCAACAACCAAGAAGATCCATTGTCGTCGCTGCCTTTTTGGGACCCTGCCCGGCGCCCGCAGACAGGACAGTGCTGCTGCTGGCGGAGCAAATGATTCAGCGAGTCCAGCTTTTGCACAGCCTGGGGTTCGTGCATCGCGTGCCTTGGCTTGTTCTCAGGCGCTTCAGATGTTTGCCTTGGGATGTTCCCCCTTTATACTAAATGCAGCCCTTAACAGGGATTATAGTACCGCTATTAAAACCCTTATACTTATGAAGGACTGTTAGTACAAGGGGAACATCCCGCTTTTTGCCGTTTTTGCTTTACAGGGAGGTGTGGGGTTCAGAGGTTCAGCACTTCAATGTGCAATAGTGCAGTGGTCCACATCCGTCACCCGGTTGTGCCACAATCAATGTGGAGACACACCCCCATCCAGAGAGGCCCTACGTTGATTCCAGCTACCTTTGAGAATGTTTCTCGAACACAACAACAGGGCGGGGGGGGGGAGGGGGCGCTGTTTCGGTTTGGGAGTCTGTTGAGATTTTGGTCGCCTGGACCGCCCCAACTCCACAGCTGCCTACGCCCCCTCGCAAGCCCCGAAGCCACAACCCGAATCTTGGGGGGTTTAGGGACCGAGTTTAGCAGGACATCAAGGCGGAGAACTTCCTGATTGGCTGGAAGAGCAGCTTGGAGTAGCCAAAATTGCGAGTCTGAAACGTGCGTGTGGGAGTGCAGAGGCAGATGGTTTCTTGGTGCCGAAGCCCTTATAAGCTCCTTCAACTCAGTACTCAGCTCCTCTTCAGAAGAGCATGTGTTGAAGATCCGAAGCTGACGCTTTCTTCATACCACCTCCCCCCTCATGTGTCATGCCCCATGTACCAAAGATGCAACGCGCATGGCAATCGAAACCAGCATTATTATTGTGTGAAAGGCCCGTGCGTTCACATTTTATTATTAGTACGTACACCTTAGGAGTTAGCTGAAGTGATTCATGAAGGAAATTGAGGAACTGAATGGCATGGTCTTTATGGGGTCTTTTAACACTCGGCTTTATTAGTTCAAGTTCACGAGTGACTAATACTAAAAAACGTGCGCGCAAAAAGACCGCCCAAAAGACCCTGGAATCCATCCCACCAGTCTTACCCATGAATCTAATGCCAAAGGCTTGTGACTCTCTCAGTCTTGTTCCACAGTCTTGTTCACCCATCACGCCTTGAGACCCTGTGAACGCCTGGTCTGCATAACGCTCGTCTTTTCATGAGCGTTACCGCTGGAGCTGGAACTAGATGCGTGAGTCTTACAGCATGCAATATTGATGTTTTCAGGTAAAGAGCGTAGTGATGCACGCTTTTAATAACAATATTGTGAGCAAAACTATACTAATTTCGTGCTGTCATTGCATATTTAGTTCATTAAATGGTTTCTTTGTACTCACTGCATTATTGTCGTTCTAGCAGGCACAAAGTAGTTTATTTGTCGCCCGTGCTATTAATAATACGAAGTGAACGCATCTAACATTACAATATAAGGAGCGCATGGCGCATGATTGTAAATTCAAGGCGAGAACGAAGACGGCGCTCATATAATTCTCTACTTGCGCCGGTTTAATAGTAGCATAAAGGTGAAAAGAACATTAAATTAACCCTAAACCCTAAACCCTAAACCCTAAACCCTAAGCCCCAAACCCCAAACCCCAAACCCCAAACCCCAAACCCCAAACCCCAAACCCCAAACCCCAAACCCCAAACCCCAAACCCCAAACCCCAACCCCAAACCCCCAACCCCAAACCCCAAACCCCAAACCCCAAACCCCAAACCCCAAACCCCCAACCCCAAACCCCAAAACCCCAAACCCCAAAACCCCAAAAACCCCAAACCCCAAACATAAACGCCTAAACCCCTAAACACTAAAACCCTAAACCCCTAACCCCCTAACCCTAACCCTAACCCAAAACCTAAACCCTAAACCCTAAAACCTTAAATCTGAATCCTTACATAGGAGGATTCTGTCGATTTCCTTTAGGGGGGGGGGGGGGGGGGGGGGCTGCCCCATTAAAATACCCAACCTGAAAAAAAGGAGGGTTTAGGGTTTAGGGTTTAAGGTTCAGGGTTTAGGGTTTAGGGTTTAAGGTTCAGGGTTTAGGGTTTAGGGTTTAAGGTTTAAGGTTCAGGGTTTAGGGTTTAGGGTTGAGGGTCTAAGGTTTAGGGTTTAGGGTTTACAGGGGTTGAGGGTCTAAGGTTTAGGGTTTAGGGTCTACAGGGGATGAGGGTCTAAGGTTTATCAGCCCTGTTTAGGTCACTGGACAACCTGGCCAAAAAAGGGCTTGCTGCACTTGTCAAAAGGGTAATGTAGGTGCTACTGAGGAAAATCGGGACTGTACAAGGTAAACATAGTGGTTATTTAGGAGGATATGATTACGGGTCCGTTTTAGGGGTCCCTTATAAGTTATAAGAGCGCACGGGTTCAGGGCTTGGGTTTAGGGTTCAGGTTTCGGGGTTTGGGGTTCGCGGTTGAGCAGTGTTTGACAAAACGGCCTAGGGGCTTCAACAAAGGGCTTTAGGTTTAGGGTTTAGGGTTGAGGAAGCCTGTTCGTCAAAAGGGGTTCAGTGAAAAAGGGTTTGGCAAGCCTCGACCCAACTCCGAAATTTCAATTCTTCATCGGGATTCGAAGTGTTAGGGTTTAGGGTTTAGGGTTTAGGGTTTAGGGTTTAGGTTTTAGGGTTTAGGGTTTAGGGTTTCGGGTTTAGGGTTTAGGGTTTGTTTAGGGTGCAAGGCGCCCAGTTTCATCATTCCTGCTAAGAGCTACTAAACCTATGCGCCCTTTTCGGGGCTTGGGCGCAAGTTTAACACGTTTCGGGTTTATTGGGGGTTCCTCAAAGTCTTTTACCAAAGGCCTCCCAAAACTTGAGGGTTCAGGGTTTGGGGTTTGGGGTTTAGGGTTTAGGGTTTAGGGTTTGGGCTTAGGGTTTAGGGTTTAGGGTTTAGGGTTTAGGGTTTAGGGTTTAGGGTTGCAGAGAAGGCAGCAGGCGAATGCTCTACGCCATCGACCTTGGCCTCGCCAGGCCCTGGCGAGAGAGTTCAGGCCGGCATGGTCATGTGGCTTCGGGTACGTCCTAGACCACCCCGAAATGTACCCGTTCAGATACCCTAAGGGCCCTTCGTAAGGGGTACTTGGGAAAGTCCTGGGTGGGGTCAGGGCCGAAGAATTGACCGCTTCAGAGGAGTTTAGGGTTCAGGGTTTCAGGATAAGAAGAGCAGTTTAAGCATGTTCGCCCTGAAGCGGAGTGACTCAGGAGCCCATGTTCCATACAAGGACGGCAAGAAGCTGGTGGCTTGGTTGGGAAAGCAAGCCGAACACGCACCCTACCGTTGGCTGTTCGAGCATCAGCAATTTTCCTTTGGGGGGGGGGGGGGGGGGGGGGAGAGGGATTTGACCCTAACCCCTAAACCCTAAACCCTAAACCCCAAACCTTAAACCAATTGCGCGTTCCAATCCAAAACCCCCACCCCAGCACCCACCCGACTAGCCCAACATTCCATAGTGCGGTTTAGGTGTTTCACTGTACGCGGACTTTGGCACAAGTTTTTCTTGGAATCAGCGACTGGTTGGAAGATGTGCCATCTTCTGGTCGTGCAGCCTTCGAAACATCGTTCTGGGCTGACCTGAACCCTACACCCTGCACCCTACACCCTCTACCGTATAAGCCTCAGACATAGATTGGTATAACTTGGGGGCCGAAGAGACTATATGAGAACTTGCTACTCTAGGTACATGGACAATTAACCAGCCAAGCCATCTCACCGTCCTCAACCCTATCGAAAGCCTTCACCCCGCCCCTGTCTTCATCACAGTTTTATCAGAGTTTTCGGGTTTCGGGCCTAGGGTTCACAGATTTGGGCAGGCTTTGGGGAGCGGGGGGGGGGAGGGGGCGAGGGTTGCCCTAAACCCTACACCCTAAACCCTAAACCCTAAACCCTGTTACTGCCCCCGCCATGGTCGCCGCTGTTTGCCTCTAGCGATGAACGACCTCCTGAAGCAGTTCGAGCCGTGCTCTGTATTACGATCCAGGTCTTGGAAGCCTTAAACCCTAAACCTTTAGGGTTTAGAGTTTAGGGTGTGGGTTTAGGGTTTTGGGTTTTGGGTTTAGGGTTTAGGGTTCTGTCTCCTGTGGAAGAAGTATGAGGTTTCCGAAATTAGGGGTACCTTATTGGGGTCCTTATTATAAGGATCCTACTATTTGGGGTCCATATTAGGGGTCCCTTATTGTCGTAAACCCCCATGTATATATATATATATAGAGAGAGAGATATAGATATAGATATAGATATAGGTGCATATATATATATGTGTGTGTGTATATATATATAAACCCGGCAGATGTAAGCTTACGCCAAGGTCGTAGCACTTAGGGTAACTGTGGCGCTCTGTCTAGAGGGCTTTCGGGGCAGGTGTGCGCGGATCGGGCCGTGGCTGAAGAGCTGGAAAAAATGGTTAGGGTTTAGGGTTTAGGGTTCAGGGTGTAGGGTTTAGGGTTTAGGGCTTAGGGTATAGGGTTTCGGGTTTCGGGTTTAGGGTTTAGGGAAGCATGGTTCAGTGCGTTAGGGTTCAGGTAAGGCTCCCAGCCAGCCAGAGCTCAGAGCTGGTTCCCTTCTCAGCCTCTTTGAACCAAAAAGGGGAACCCTCCAGGCCTACGGCCTACGCTAGCCTAAAGCTCTAGACCCTCCACGCGCTTGAACCTTGAGGATGTTGCCAGCTTGGAATTCTACAAGGCCCTTTTCCCTTATTGAAACTTTTACGGGGCCCTCCAACCCACACCAGCTTGCCGAAGCCCCAAACCCCCTCAACAGAAGCATCTTAGTTCAAGTATTGGGTTCTTAAGGGAGGTTCATGGGGGGTTAGGTACCTTGGGAACCTCACGGAAGCTTAGGGGGAGCCCCAGGGAGCAGTGGGGATTATTAAGGAACCCTGGCTTACATACCCCCCTTGAACGCCCCTAAACCACCCCCCTTGAACCCCCACCCTAAACCCTAAACCCTAAACCCCCTCCCTGAAGAACCCTAGAGCTCAAGGAAAGCGGGCACTTCGACGACCAGGTCACCATACAGCGAAGGTGCCGTGGGCTGCGCGGTTGGCAGGGTTTAGGGCTCAGGGTTCCTAAAGTTGTTTTGACCCTAATCCCTAAACCCGAAACCCTAACCCTCAACCCTACACCCTAAACTCCTAACCCTAAACCCTAATCCTAAACCCTAACCCTAACCCTAAACCCTAACGGGTCTAGGCGTTAGCTGCGGTATCCACCTGAGACTGCCAAAAGTTAGGCTGGGGTTGAAGTGATCCGACCTTTGTTCTCCATAAAGCGAGCAAGACGGGTGATTAGGCTGGGCTTCCCTACCCATTTTCTTCCTTTAAGAACCACCTGGTACCCTGAAAGGGTTTAGGGTTTAGAGTTTAGGGTTTTATATGTATTATGTGTATATATATATATATACACATACATGTGTACCCTAACTGGGATGAAAATAGTCGAGGGTATATGATACCACGTAAGGAGGTAGGTGCTCAAGGGCTCATGGTCGAAAGTGCCAGGGCTAGTGCTTTGGCACTTGCAGGCGTCGGTCAGGGCCTGGGGTTGAGGTTGAGGGTTGAGGGCTTTCAGGGCATTCGAGTAGGCCGTGGGGTCAGTGCAAGAATATGAACATATCTGGGTTTGCCATCACATGCTGATCTGAGGAACCCAGCTTTTGACTTATATGTCCAACGTGGACCATCCCCTACACGGCCTTGAAAGCCAGAATCTTACTGTTGAAACGACCATCTTCCTGCATTGTTCCCCGGTTTTGTTGAAGGGGGGGGGGGGGGGGGGGGGGGGGGGGGGGGGGGCGTTCCAGACTCGGATCCCTTCTAGGCACCATGTATGTAGAAGCAATGAGGACTGTAAGACGTCCCTGCAGTGTGGGAACCCTAAACCCTTAGCCCGAAACCCAGCTATGCCTTAGGATGCAGGGGGTCGCCTCAGGGTTTAGGGTTTAGGATTCAGGGTTCAGGGCTTGAATTCATATTAGGGTCCCTACTATCCTCCATGAAACGCAAAAATAATCCACTATAATCCCGACACAGTTTATCCATCCTAGTTGTTACTCCCTTGAAGGGACTGAAAGGAGGGACCCTTCTCAGGGACCTTAGGGGTTCTTTAGGGGGGGTACTTCGATATATAGGGACTATAAGAGGTATATATAGGGTTATTTTGGGGGAATCAGATGAAGGGTCCCTTCTGGGGGTCCTAAACCCTAAACCCTAAACCCTAAACCCTAAACCCTAAACCCTAAACCCTAAACCCTAAACCCTAAACCCTAAACCCTAAACCCTAAACCCTAAACCCTAAACCCTAATGCTTGCCTCTCAGGCGGTTGGCCTGGAAGAATCGACCTGACCGCATCGTGCTGCTTCGCCACGGGCAGAGCCAGGGAAACGTGGCAGAAGATTCAAGACAGCATCTCCAGGGTTTAGGGTTTAGGGCTTAGGGCTTAGGGTATTGGGGTTTAGGGTTTAGGGTTTAGGGCTTTGGGTTTTGGGGGAAACGTTGCAGAAGATTCAAGCTACGTAGGTCCCTGGGATATGTTGTATTTTCCCTTGTTGGGCTTAAGAGGATTGCATGTAGGAATATTTTTCAGAGGGTTCGAAGGGCCATCCTAGCAAGTCAGCCCAGATGTTCAGGATTTAGGGTTTGGGGTGTGGGGTTTAGGGTTTGGGCTCAGTGACGGGTCAAAAGGGTTTGGGCTTTACCCGTTGGTACAGGAGCAGGAGTATCCCTAGATTCCCCAGTATACTTTGAAAGTGTTTTTGTATATTCCTTAAGCAGGGAATATAGCCTTAATTTTCATCTTCGGACCTCAATGTACGGTTTAAGGGACATTGTGCGACACGGAAAGCTCAGCAATCAAGCCCCCCAGAACGAACAGAACATGTTGATCCTTGTCTGCTTGGGCAGCTGACTACATGACCAAACCCATACCCTAAGCTGTACTCCTCTTTCGTCAGTGCTAGATAGCAGACACGGTTGTTTCGGGTCTGCTGCTGACTCGGCTGCCTCGAAACCAATTCAGCATGGCATGATGCCGCGTCAGGGATTGGGGCTTTCTTTACTCTGGTCGTTTTACTTTATCATAAACGCGTGCCATGATTTCTTTTTCTCTGTGAGCACGCGCCGTTTAATAAACTACACGGTCCCTTAACTTATTATAAATATTGGGCCCGTCCTTGTCATTGTACCACTTCCAAGATCTGGGATTCTGTTCACTCACTTCTCTCTCGCTTACCTGTAGGGTTTAGGCCCTGAACCCTTAAACCCAAAAACCCAAAAACCCAAAACCCCTAAACCCCTAAACCCCTAAACCCCTAAACCCCTAAACCCCTAAACCCCTAAACCCCTAAACCCCTAAACCCCTAAACCCTAAAACCCCTAACCCTAAACCCCTAAACCCCTAAACCCCTAAACCCTTAAACCCCGAAACCCCTAACCCCTAAACCCCCTAAACCCCTAAACCCCTAAACCCCTAAACCCCTAAACCCCTAACCCCTAAACCCCTAAACCCCTAAACCCCTCAACCCCTCAACCCCTAAACCCCTAAACCCCTAAACCCCTAAACACCTAAACCCCTAAACCCCTAGGTTTAGGGCCCAGGGGAAGCCAGGAACATGCGGTTCCGGGCAACTACGCTCAAAGCCCAAAGCCCTAAAGAGGGGGCCACGTGGGGACCATAACTTCGGCCCGAACCCTGAATCCTAGGTTTAGGGTTGAGGGCTGAAGGTTTAGGCTTTAGGGTTTAGGGTTTAGGGTTCAGGGTTTAGGGTTTAGGGTTTAGGGTTTAGGGTTTAGGGTTTAGGGAACCTTATAAGCCAGGCAATGTGGACAAGATGCTCTACACCAGCAAGGGCGACAGCAGGCTGGAGCTCACTCGGGCGGGGATCCAGCAGGCCAAGGATGCCGGCGCGCGGCTGAAGCAGAGCCTGGGTTCATGTGTTCTTGCTGTGGCCCTAAACCCTAAACCCTAAACCCGAAACCCGAAACCCTAAACCCTAAACCCTAAACCCAGAACCCTAGAACCCTAGAACCCTAGAACCCTAGAACCCTATAACCCTATAGCCCGATAACCCTATAACCCTATAACCCTAAATCCTAAAGAGGGTTTAGGGTTGCGGGTCTATGTAAGGTATAAGGTTCCATGAGGATCTGAACGTAAGTTGACACAAGAAGGGAGAATGTCCAAGAAGGAAGTTAGATGAAGCCACTTAAAAGGAAGGAAAGTTTATCCTTGACGACACCAAAA